GTGATATATGCAGGCACGACAGACTTTATAGATTGGAAAATGTGCTTAAGTGCTGTGCAGATCGATTCCCCGGTGCCAGCTTCACGCTCCCTCCCTCCCATGCACCAGTCCACGGACTGAGCCCGCCAACCAGTGGGTTATATGATTGGGTACGGTGGATGAAGCGGCATGAAATTCCGCGTCTAAGGTGTGCCACACGTGCACAAAAGTAGTTATAAACTCATGCGGACTCTTCTGGGATTACGTGAAGTCCCCCATTAGAACTCAAGGCACGTGTAAGTAGCACTATTCCTGCAAGGTTACGGGGTACGCTACTCGTTTTATTCGGAGGGCCACGCGCATGCATAAGACTGACGCTGTAGTTTCCTGGTAGTATTGCCAGCAAATACAAGGGAGACTGGAATGGCCATTTCTGGCTTATTAGCCGTCGTCAGCCAGTCATACCCAGACTCAAGTGGTGTCCCGCCCGAGCCTCGACTTTCTTTATCAGAGTCAAACGCCCTAACCATTGAGCCACGAGCTCTTTGTCCCAACGGTTTAGGTCAGGAGATATTGGCACTTGTTGATGAACGTTAACCTGACCGCTAACGGAACTATCTACCTACTACCAGCTGTTACGACTGTCAGGGCTTCCGACGAGACTCAAGGCAGAACGGGACGGATGAGTCGCGGTAGCGGTCAAGTGAACGTTCACCAGCGAGCTTCAGTTTCCTGCCCAATAGTCGTGTCGGCGTCGCAAAATTCCTCCTACCTTCATTCCTACGGCCGCTTTACCGCTGAGTCAGCTATACCACAGAATCCTACCTACGATGTTAGTAATCAGTAGGGCTGAATTGGGTCCTGTCACGTTGTATCTTATTCATCGGCTTCACAGTACTGAAGTTTTTGGCTACATTTTGATTGTATTTTCCATACAGACCCCATGAACGATCCCAAGACGAATGGGAAGAGTGGGCAAATGCTATAAAAAAAAGAAGACAAAAGGCTACAGCTGGAAAAACCAATAAATTGTGCGAAGAAAACTAGGATAAAATCTTTTCTTGTTTTGAAATGAAGGAAATTGAGCAAATAGTGTGGGGGAGCGCGCGACCACAGATGTGGCAACAATCTCCCCGAGGATATGGAAGGTGGGATTCTTTGAAACACAGCCGTGAGGGACAATGTGGAGGAAGACAAAATCAGGGTGGACGGTAAAATGAAGAGGTGAACACTAAACAGAGGAAAGATATGTGTGCAGGACGGCCAGATCACAACCTTGGGAAGAGGAAGGCCGAACAGGAATGAGGGGGAAATGCGGGAGAATGTTGGACTGAAACAAGGGCTTCGTGCGAGAAGACTGAGATGCGGGGGGGGAGAGGGGGAAGAAGTGAATGTGGGTGCTGGTCAGTCAGCTGGTTAGAAAAACATCTGAACTAACCAAACTGGTTACATCCGTCAGGCGTGCGCAGATCCGTATTGACTCCCACGCAAACTCCGTTCCCAGGTGAAAGCCAATTGGTGGAAGACGAGGCATTGGCATCAGGAGGGGTCTGTTGAAAGACAGTCTGTGTGTGAACACTGTTCAGCCACTGATCTAGCTCCGCGTCGCCAGTGGTCTGAGTTTGCATATGCGCAAAACTATCCGCTGGGGACCAGCAACAATTGCCGGCATTGCTATCATTAAAATTCATTAGGTCAACTGTGGTCTCTACGGCAACCGAATTTGCATGACACAAAGATGTGGAGGTTTTGGGGGCAGCAGGCAGCGTTGAGGTCGAGACACCGCAACCGATGCTAAGCTCATTCGAGGGCAAGTCCGCTTGCGGGTGAAGTGACACCCAGGAGGCTGCGTACTGAGTTGCTTGGGCGTCTGAGTTGGAAAAAATAAAAAGGTCAGCAGTTAAAACCGACACGTCTGAGAAATACAAAAACAGCAACCCTGTCTGAACATCGGACCCTGCTTACTGGCAACGTTCAGTGATGGTGCCAGTCTCACTCATCTTGCGAACTGCAATTACGCAATAAGTTTGGGGTTATCGGGGTGATTGAGGGAGGTTGATGGAACGTGAAACAATTGCCGACAGAACCAAAGCAACCAACTTACAGACCCTCATAACCATCCATGAGGTCAAGGAAGAAGTACTGTATTACCAGTTGATTTTGAGTGAGGAGAAGCGAACTGCTCGGACTGAAACGGTACGACTTACCAGTGCAATGACTGACCGTCAGTATAGCCAGAGCACAGATTTACACAATTCTCGTTTCAATACGGAAGTAGGTGGGGGTGCTTGCAAACAAAATTGTGTTGCGTTCATGTAGTGTAGAGACCACTTAACCTAAATTGGAGATCAGGCGTGCATGGAGGGAAATTACTCGGAAAGAGCATTAGAACGCTTGGATCGATCCAGAAGTGCAGTCTCCATTGACGCTCCAGTGTCTATCTGATGACAAAAGATAAGTACTTACAGCCCTTTAGCGATTGGACGAATATGCTGACATCTGCGAATTGTGAAGAGGAGTTTACGGTCAGGTTCACAATCAACCGTTTAACTAGAAACGGAAAGTTCCATGCTTTTTGACAGTAATTAATGGGATCAGTTGTATACGGCGCCAACCCGAGACGGTAGCCCCCTATATAACGTCTTTCCAAGCTGCAAGCCAGATTAAAGCCAAGTTTACTGACTACGTTTTACTCAAACCCCACCCGGACGCATAATTAAGTCGGAATTTGTACCTGACCGTTGAAAGACCCAGTTAGAAACCGACTACCTGACCGGCAGACGTGACAACGCGATTGGTCGTAGTACATGCTCCTCTGATATTCCTGTGAAGCAGTCCTTCTCAAGCAGGGATAATTTTTTGCTAAGACTTAAGTGATATGGTTCGTTCTGCTTTTATCGCCAGACTTTCGGTGCTTGCCGTTTTCATCCATGAGAAGGATTTTGCAGCAGCTGCCTTTGGTGGATAAGATGCTGATGACGCGACAATAAGTACAGATACACATGCTCGTACTGGGTTCCAAAGAATGTGATCTCGGATTTCACAAAAGGGACAGTACCAGAATGGTCACATTGTGCAAGTCCGCGCGCCCAGCCCCACTGCGCTGACTCGTGCTGTCTTCGTTCGCCAAGCCTTGCACGCCGCGCGCTCTTGTCCG